TGAAGAGCTCCCAGGTAGGGGCCATGTGGCTAAAGGGAATAAGGATACGGAAGTTGAAATGACCAGTTCTGAGATGGAATTAAAACTCAAACAGTTTAATGGGACTAAACTGGGGACCTGCATAATCTCCATCCAAGTATATTAAAGGACCTGGCACATGAAATTGCAAGCCCAATAGCAAGGATTTTTAATGAATCTACAAACTCAGTGGTTTTATCCTACGACTGGAGAACTGCTAATATGGTGCCTAGTTTTAAGAAGGGGAAGAAAAATTATCCAGGAAACTACAGACCTGTTAGTTTGACCTCAATAGTATGCAAGGTCTTGGAACAAATTTTGAAAGAGAAAGTAGTTAAGGGCATAGAAGTAAATGGTAAATCCAACATGTTTTTACAAAAGGTAGATCATGCCAGACCAACCTGATCTCTTTCTTTGAGAAGATAATTGATTTTTTAGACAAAGGAAATGCAGTAGATCTAATCTACCTGGATTTCCATAAGGCATTTGATACAGTTCCACACTGGAAATTATTAGTTACATTGGAGAAGATGGGGATTAATTTGAGAATTGAAAGGTGGATAAAGGGGAGACTACCATGGGTCATACTGATAGGTGATCTGTCAGGCTGGAGGGAGACAATAACTGGAGTTCTTCGGAGATCGGTCTTAGGACCAATCATATTTCACATCTTTATTAATTACCCTGAGGATTTTTCACCTTTTTCTGCAGCATGGGGCACAGGTCACTTGTAGGTGTAACTAGTGTAAACGGTGGATTCTCTGTAACATGTGATGTGAGGACGTCAGTAACTCAGCCAGAGGTTAGGGGTTTGTTCCAGGAGTGGGTGGGTGAGGTTCTGTGGCCTGCGATATGCAGATGGTCCGACTAGATCAGTGGTCCCCAATCTTTGCTGTGTGGCGGGCGCTGGACGGCTAGCCGCCGTGGACTGTGGCCGCCGGACAAGCAGCCGCCGAAATGCCGCCGAGAAGTGGCAACACCAAGAAGGCTCGCCGCCGAAATACTGCTGAAAAACAGCGGCATTTCGGTGGCGATGCCGCTTGACGACTGTAGTGGGGTGGACCCCGCTCCGGTCCAGAGGGGGCTGTGGCTGGAGAAAGCAGCTTGTAGGCTGAGCTGGTCGGGGGAAGAGGCTGCAGCTGGGGCCACGCTCCAAACAGACTCAACTGGCCCTATAAAGGCTGGGGAGCCAGAAGCTCAGACAGTCTCTCTCTGAGTG